TGGCTGCTCTGGCTATTTTGTAATCCTGCACTGAATAACAATTAGTAAGGTTGAAAAAAATAGACATTGCATTGAGTTCAAATAATAACTGAAAACCTCCAAATAAAAAAAAGAACGCTATATTCACAGTTGATCCTGAAGAGGGCAAGACCCTTATAAAAGCATGGTCCAATTTGTTCCAACCAATAAAGAAAACAAACATTTTTCCTGTCCCTTATGTCAATGATGGACACTGCAATTAAAATAAAATAGCAAGTAGCTTTACCTCATAAAAAAGGAAAGAAGAGAGGGAATACTTTACTGTCAGAACACAGTTTTGCCCAATAAAAATCCTTCTCTGAAGCTCACTGGGAATACAACATTCCTGGGAATGTTGATCTCCTTGGCACCTGCAGAACGTAGTGATTCTTCCCAACAACCTCTTTTCATTAGTGTAACTATAGTGATGTGGAGGTTGGTGGGAGAAACCAGTGAACGTTACAGGGAACCAAGGAGATGAACTCTTCTAAAAGTGTTGGTTACCCAGAATACTTCCGTAAAGGGTTTCTGTTAAACAGAGCAATGTTCTGGTGGCATGAGCAGCAGAAAGGGTAGGTATTCAACCTTTTCAGGCATAGCTGTTTGGCATTTTTATTTTTCTTTCACAAAGATTTCAGAGAAAAAAATGTAACAATACAAAACACAGCTCTCTGGAGATCTTGTCAGTACAAGAAATAGCAGTACAAAGAGGTATTCAGGAGTTCAAGTACTGAAGCAAAAGACTGCAGCAATTACAACAAAAAAATGCTAGGCCAGCAACTCCATCAGTATAGCTAGTGTTACAGCACAATAATGTATGAAAAATACTGGGTGACAAGCCTAAATTGTACAAGTCAAAACAGTAGCAATGGCAATGAAAAATGATCTCCATGATTCATAAACACAGTAGGGTTTACAGGATAAAAGAAAGCAGAAAGAGAAGTAAAATATAGAAATAAACTGAGAGGGTAGAAAAGGGCAAGTGAGATGGTAAGGAAAGTACTGGGGAAGGGGAATCCATGGGGTGGAACAAAGTAAACAAATGGCCAATGGAAATGATCAAACTGCAAAGCAGGGGCGGACTGACAACTCATGGGGCCCCCCGGGCAATAGGGGATCATGGGGCCCCTGTGTCCTTGCCCACACTCAAAGCACACCCACAAAAAAGCCTACAAAAGGTACCAGGGGAATTTCATGGGGCCCCCTACTGACCCCCGGGCCCTCAGGCAGTGCCCGGTGCTCAAATGGTCAGTCCGCTCCTGCTTCAAAGTTTAAAAGGGAGAATATCCAGGGTTGCCATATAAAAAAGAATTTGGCACCAGCTAAAATGTCTGTCACTCTAGCAGCACTAAACCCTTTTAACATTTACAGCCAGGAAGATGCAATCATAGTCTGTTTGATCTGCAGTTGCCATGGTGCTGCACATGTGATCAGCTATGACACCAGCCATTTAATGGCTTGACAGTTTGGTTGACAGCAAAAGTGACTGTGACAGCTATCATTCATGATATGCCCTGAATGTAACTGCTTTGGAAAACAGGTAAATCAATGGCTTTAGTTCCGCTTTAATAATTCCTGTGAGTCAGTTTTCCACAGCTTCAAAACTTAAGGGCTCATTCACACCATGGTGCAGAGACATCAGTTTTTCTGCTTGCGTTCTGCAAAGGCTCAAAGAAAACAATTGTTCCCTATATGCCCTATTCACACCATAACAGTAGTATCACATGCAGATTTTTTCTGCACAGGAATCTGCAAAGTGTACAAAACTCATTGAAGTGCACAAGAAAATTAATGTAAACTGATGTCTCTATAAGTGAAATCTGTGCTTGAATTTCTATCCATTTTTCTGCATGTATGGTGTGAATGAGGCCTAAAGCAGAATGAAACCCATTGATTTAACGGTTTAAAAAAATAGTTACATTCCCAGCATGCCAGGAATGCTAACTGTCACATTTGCTTGTGCTCTCAACCAAACTGCCATACCATCAAATGGATAGTGTCACAACTAATCACATGTGCAGCACCATGGCAGTTGCAGATCAAACAGATGGCAGTTTCCTTGGCTGAAAAGGATAGGAGGGTTTAGTTCAGATTCCTGTGCAGAAAAAATCTGCACATGATACTAGTGTTGGTGTGTGAACAGGGCATATAGAGAACAATTGTTTTCTTTGTGTCCTTGCAGAAGGCATGCAGAGAAACTCATCTCTACACATGGTGTGAACGAGGCCTAAAGAGGACTAAACCTATTGGTTTAACTGTTTTCCAAAGCAGTTACATTCAAGACATACTGAAAATGGTAACTGTCACAAGTGCTTATCCTTCCGACCATACTATTTAATGCCATCGAATGATTGTTGCTATCGCTGATCACATGTGCAGCACCATCGCAATACAGATTAAACAGATTCTAAGATGACAGCTTCCTTGGCTGTAAAGGACACTTTAAAGGATAAGTTCACCTTTTAGTAAAAAACAATACATGCACATTTTTTTTTTTTGCAGGTAAAAAAAAAAATGTGCATTTATTATTGTCTGCAAGAGCCTGTAAAGCATTGCACCAGCGATTTGCAGATTATCGGTGCCATGCAGGTGTCCTGCAGACCTGTCAGTATATCTGCTTGATCGTATGGGATGTACAAGCTAGCAGATGTACTGACAGAATGCTTGAACTCCACAGCGTTGTGGTAGTTTGAGGACTACAAGCTGACAGCCGCTAAAGGCTGTCAGGACTTGTAGTCTTTCATTCACAGAGGTCTATAAATGAGTGACACAGCCGTGTTTTTTTTAAATTTGACAGCTAGCATCCAGCTGTCAAAGCAGGGGCCCCTGATCGTAACATGTTACACCTTGAATATGGATGTAACATGTTACGAAAAGGTGAACGAATCCTTTAAAGTGGAACTAAGCTCACAGAATTAATGATTTCCCAAAGGCATGCCATGAATTATAACTGAGGCAGTTACTAGTGTGCTTCTGTCAGCTCTCAGGTAAACTGTCAAGCCATCAAATGACTGATGTCATAGCTGATCACATGTGCAGCAACATGTCAACTGCAGATCAAACAGACTAAAATGGCAGCTTCCTTAGCTGTAAAGAATAGTTCCTTTTTAAAGTAAGTGTTTTGTAGGTTTTGACAATAGTCAGCTTGGTCGCAATAAAAATATGGAAAACAAAGGCATGTTCTGAGCGTAATAGAGTATGACTGGGTTTATTGAGTAAGGCTTTACATGGATCTTTGCCAAGGTTTGTACTGTATGTAATAATGTGCAAATGAGATATACCTAGATCCAAAGTCTATTTGCAAATGGACAAAGGCATATCTATTTTTAATGACTGTGTCACTTTAAACGTGCTCTTTTCAATACATGCTCCTTTAAAAAAAAAAAAAAAAAAAAGTAAAACAATCCCAATGGTCACATAGCAATTACTTCTTAATATTTAGTTCTGTGGGACAGATGTTGTTAAATGATACAACATTTGCCCTTTAGCCAAGTACTTATAATACTATAAAAGTGTGTTTTTGCTGCAGACCAAGCATTTCCCATTGCTGTCTATCTAAATAGCATACTAAGCTTCATCACACAATAAACGCAGATCAATACAACATATGAGTACTTCTATCATAGCTTTCCTAACCGATTCTAAAGAGCTGCTTATGTACAGACCATCATTTGTTTCCATACAAGGTGTGCTTATGCAGAATAAGCCTTAACGTAAATCTGTGGCCAGGGTAAAGCGATTCAAGTATTTAGATATTCCTAATTAGCAGTAAGCAGTGAGCTTTAAAACATACCTATCTTGACCTCTGCAACTGCAGGTACTGTGGAGCAATGTATCATCAAAGTACACAGAACAAACACTGTCATTCTTCAAGTCTTTCTTTACTCTGCTACTTGTTCCCAAAGCACCAGCTCTTTGTTTACATAAGAGATTAGAAGGTAGGCTAGCTGGTTCGCAACTGCAAGGAAAGGAATGTGGGTGAGCTGAGCTGCTGAAATAATTTATTTGAATTACTTCAGTCCTTTGGTTGCAAATTTGAGAATTAATTGTATAACCACTGCAACTACAAAAAATTAGTGAGGTTTAGTTTTAAACCTAATATATGGTTTGTCAAAAATATGTAAATACTTAAAGTAGATCTAAAGCCAAAATAGTTTTTTCCATTGCAGTTAGTGGGGGGGTTAAAACTGTCATTTTTTCCCTCTGCCTCTCATTAAGAAAAGTTCCCCTTCTGTCTTGTAGGCTTAAGGGCCCGTATACATGATGAGAATATCAGATGAATGATCATCCATTTTTTTTACATGCTAGTCTCATATTGAAAGTGCAGAGGTTACAAAAGGTATGAAAATTCTTGAAAATTCAGAAGAGAAATTTGAAAGTGATGTAATGTATTGTATTTCCAGACAAAAACTGTACTGATTAAACAAAATCCATACTATCTGGAATTGTACTAGAAAAATTTCCATGCTGGTTCCTTCAAATAATTTTGGATGAAAGCTGCATACTAACAATCAGATTATCGTGCGATCGCTTTGAAAGAGGTATTTTTCGTACGATTTTCTGATTGTGTGTACTATACTTAACACAAAGTGAGTAGATATCTTTGTAATGTGAAGTAAATAGTTTTCACAGGAATAACTATACACAATGGAAGAATTCCCCTCTAATCCTGTTCTGGTGAAACCTTGGAATTTTGGATTTTCCCTCACTTTCATTCTTGGTGACATTGGAGATCTAGACAATTCGAAAAAGTGAATATCCCCAACAAGGACACAGACAGCAATAAAAACCTGACAGTGGTTGTAACCTCTCACCTCTCTATCAAACTGAAAAAATGCCTTGTTTTTGAACATGTATCCAGGCTATGTATCTATAGTCTGAATATACACTATATTGCCTAAAGTATTGGGCAACCCACCAAATCATCGGATTCAGGTGTGCCAATCACCATAGCCCCGAAATATAAAATCAAGCACATAGGAATGCAGACTGCTTCTGCAAACATTTGTGAAAGAATGCATCACTCTCAGGAGCTCAGTGAATTCAAGTGTGGTACCATGATAGGTTGCCACCTGTGCAATGAGTCTATCCGTGAAATTTTCTTGCTATTAAATATTCCAGAGTCAACTGTTAGTGGTATTATGACAAAGTGGAAGTAACTGGGAACAACAGCAACTCAGCCATGAAGTGGTAGGCCACATAAAATGCCAGAGCGGGGTCAGTGCATGCTGAAGAGCACGGTGTGCAGAAGTCGCCAACTATCTGTAGAGTCAATAGCTAAAGACCTCCAAACTTCACGTGGCCTTCAGATTAGCTCAATAACAGTGCGTAGAGCACTTCATGGAATGGGTTTCCATGGCCGAGCAGCTGCATCCAAGTCTTACATCATGCTGCCACTGGACTCTACAGCAGTGGAAACATGTTTTCTGAAGTGACGAATCACACTTCTCTGTCTGGCAATCCCATGGATGTGTCTTGGTTTGGTGGTTGCCAGGAGAACAGTACTTGCCTGACTGCATTGTGCCAAGTGTAAAGTTTGGTGGAGGGGGGAGGAACTTGACTGGCCTGCACAGAGTCCTGACCTCAACCCGACAGAATGCCTTTGGGATGAATTAGAACAGGGACTGCAAGACAGGCCTTCTTGTCTGACATCAGTGCCTGACCTCACAAATGTACTTCTGGAAGAATGGTCAAACATTCCCATAGACCAGTGGTGGCGAACCTATTGCACGCGTGCCACAGCTGGCACGCAGAGCTCTCTCTGTCGGCACGCCAGTGCCAAGTCACCCCAGCAGCCGAGAATCTGATAACGGTATCAATACGTATGCTCGGAAAGAAGTAGGGCCCCTATAGGACCATGCATGACTGCAGGGATGGGCGATCAGTTACAACAGAGAGAGCAGGGAGCGGAGAGTGGAGAGCTTGGACCAGAGGAGCTATCATCTGATCTGGGGGTGAGGGTCTGGTAAGTCCTCCCCACCCGGCAGGGCTGCCAATAAGGGAGTACCACCGGGCCTCCTGTAGTGGGCCCAGGCCCTGTCACCTAGCAAGGGGGCCCCGGGGAGGGGCTGTGCTCTGACCAACAGTGCACCCAAGGATGAGCACATCGGGCCCCACAGGGCCAGCTCCGTCCTTGGGGGGGTACTGCTGCCATCACTGGGCACTGTGTATGGTTATTGGGGGGTGAAAGAAGTCCCTGCATGCAGCCCAGCAGGAAGAGTCTGACAGCTGACCCCCACTCCTGCTCCTGTCTTCTTTCACTGCCATCATCCTCTCCTGCCTCTGTACCTCTGTATCTGTTTTGTAGATGGTAAATGACAGAATCTCTGCCCCTATCACTGCACCCTTGATAACAAACCCCCACACCCGGATCCACCTATCCAGTCTCTCACATCTCACTGTCACAGTCTCTTTTCTCCCCCACTGCTTGTCCAGCTCTCACTACACCTGCAGCAGCCCATTCCCCATCCCCTCCCCCTTGTTGAGCCAGAAATTCATCCTCGGCCTTTCCTGGTCCACAGTCACCTACTAGTGTTATTCCTCTGTATGCTAGGCAATCCTTACACCAGTGCCCATCTCTGATCTGCAACTGTCCCAGCCTCAGAGAACTGCCAGCATTCTAGTCCTACCTCATTGCTCCTTCATCCTGCCACAATTCTTTTTTCCTCCACTGCCAGTGTCCAAGCTCACACTACCATTCACCTGCTCATCTCACTCTCTTCTCTCCCCCTGCTGCTTCTCCTCTCTGCACCACATTTCCATCATCACCTTCCATTGCAGCATGTCATGTAATAGTAATAATATATGTTGCTTTCCTAATTTCTCACAACTGGTACTACCGCCAACCGTACCCCTCTTCTGTACATACCACCCACCACCATACACTCCACACTCCTCTCCTGCACATACTACCCACCGCCATACACTATGTACCCCTCTCCTGTACATACCTCCCACCACCATACCTCCCACCACCATACACTCCACACTCCTCCCCTGTACAGTACATACTGTCCACCATCATACACTCTGTACCCCTCTCCTGCACATACTACCTACCGCCGTACACTATGAACCCCTCTCCTGTACATACTGTCCACCACCATACACTCTCCTGTACATACCATCCACCGCCATACACTCCATCCCTCTCTATTGCACATACTACCCACCGCCATACACTCCATATCCCTCTCCTGCACATACTACCCACTGCCATAAACTCCTTACCCTTCTCCTGTACATACTGCCCACTGCCATACACTCCATACCCCTCTCCTACACATACCACTAACCACCGTACAGTCCACACTTCTCTCCTGTACATACCATCCACCGCAATACACTCCATATTGGTGATTAGGTGAACATTAATTATGTAAAAGAACCCCAAATGCAAACTTTTACCTTTCAATAAAAAGCTGTTTGTATCATTGAAAGCTCTGTTATTGTGGTTTTCTTTTGAAACAAAAGATGTTCATGTATGAGTATTTTTTTCTAAACTAAAACCTCAGTATTCAGGTTTAATTGCAGTGTTGGCACTTCGCAATAATAAGTGGGTTTTGGGTTGCAGTTTGGGCACTCAGTCTCTAAAAGGTTCGCCATCACTGCCATAGACACACTCCTAAACCTTGTGGACAGCCTTCCCAGAACAGTTGAAGATCTTAAAGCTGCAAAGGGTGGGCCAGCTCAATATTGAACCCAACGCAATAAGACTGGGATGCCAGATTAAAGTTCATGTGTGTGTAAAGGCAGGCATCCCAAAACATTTGGCAATATAGTTTATGTTGAATTTAAGCTAGTTATAGATCAATGGGTATTCAGAAATTTTGGCACGATCTTACATCCAATAGCAATCAGCCAAAGATGTCAAGATCTGTTTTGAAATTGCTGGTACTTATTGACATTACTGTCTCTGCTTTACCTCATCCTTTTTCTGTTGGCATCTTTAGTCTCTACTAGCTATAGACAATGGTTCCTATTTTCAAATGCAATATAAATAAAATACAATAGGAATAAAACACCTTTGATGGGAAAATGACACAATGTGTTCAGGACAAGTGTATGATTAGGTCTTTTCTACACATCCTGTTTACTATAAATTTATAGAATGTTAGACATTTTAGGTTGGTCCATGAACAGGCTTTGGTACTGCTCAATTAGAGTAATACATCAGATGTGGTTAGTCATTTGATGTAAACATACTGCAGATTAAGGTACTGAGGTATTAAATGTTAAATTTAATCATTTCTGTTTCTCATTGGTGATAGGTTAGCTTGCCTTGTCTTGTTAGATGTCCAGTTCAAAATTAAAACATTACATTAATATCCTGCTGTTTTTCAAACATTCCCTCCTGCTGTTACTTAATGGCTTCTGTTGCCAGCAGGGAAAATTGATAGCTGGACACCAGAAATTTGCAAGCTCTGAGCACAGGCATTGATTCCTTACGGTTATCCTGCTTGCTTGATATCATTTACTGTTGCCTGTAGTTCATCATTTTAAGGATACAGCATTCGGAGTATGGTTTAAAGCTTATTTGCTCTGATTATTTCATTAATAGTATATTGTAAGAAATGTCATAATTAAATGTTTTGTAGGCATTGAGTGACCTAATTAAAGTTAATTTGATCCACATGCTTACACCCAGCCCAACTTCAAAGGCCAAATGTAGTTTGGCCCAGAGGAAGTCATAGGGGCAGGACAAATATTGACAACAGACGTTGGGGTTAATTCCTGCATAACAGAGCATCCAGGTTTATTAGATATCCAGGCAGATAAAGAGAGCATATATAATATTTTGGCGGTTGGAGGTTCCTACTTTATGGACATGAAAGTTAAAGTGACACTAAACTCCTGAAAAAAAAAAAATCAAAAATTGCCCTTTCATTGCTTTTAGACTACTCTAAATTCTCAAATCCTTTCTTTTGCTGCTCTGATTTTCTGCTACAGAGTGGCTATGTTCATTTCCCATTGTCTAATTTTGTAAAGCGCTGCGCAAACTGTTGGCACTATATAAAACATGTATATTAATAATAATGTATAATAATGGTCCCACTGTATGTGGGAATGTTGCTACCCTCCAGGCCTACAGAATGATGGAGCAGAGAAGGTAAGAAACTAACCTCAGAGGTTAAACATACACCATAATTCACTCTGGGGCTCCCGCTACCACACATTATGAAAATAGTATGAGATATGGATGCCTCAACAACTCATAAACCTTATCAAATTATAATAATTTTAATGACCCTAAATTACTACTGGCTATCGTCAGTAGTTCACATATTTATTATTTATTGCAGGTACTTATATAGCACCGTCAATTTACGCAGCGCTTTACATATATAGTACATTCCCATCAGTCCCTAACCCTCAAGGGGCATTCAATCTAAGCTCCCTAACGTGCATTCATACATGCACATACTAGGGTCAATTTAGAAAGGAGCCAATTAACCTACCAGCATGTCTTTGGAGTGTAAGAGGAAACCAGAGTACCCGGAGGAAACCCACACAGGTACAGGGAGAAGATGCAGGTGATGCCGAGGTTGGGATTCGAACCAACAACCTTAGTGCTGCCAGACAGAAGTGCTAACCATTTAGCAACTGTACATATCGAACAAAATTAAATATAAGGGTGTGTGTTATTAGAGAATGTGGACAAAAAGCAGAGTACCAATAGATATAATAATCAGCATATCAAGCAAACATTAAGATAAAACATTTCAACAGAGCACTGACATAAAGCGTAGACATTACCTATACAGGATGTACAAGTAGCGCATATATATATATATATATATATATATATATATATATATATATATATATATATATATATATATATATATATATATATATATATATATATATATATATTTATAGGAGCATCAAAAATAACAGTCCTTACTCAGGGCACACCAAAGAGCACCCTGTATAATGCTCTGATGTCCTGTGGGGGACAGGAGGATGTCCACCATTCTGTGTTGAGGCCAAAGTTGGTGTGGTACCAGCGTCTCAATCTAGATGACCACGCCAGAACCGATATTGAAAAGAGCACCACCTCCCACGCCCCCCCCCCCCCCCTCCAGAGGGAGCAAGAGAAACCATGACCAATATCAAGTCTCAGAAAACAGCTGGAAGAATAAAAAAATACACTTAGCTCAACCAACAGGTATAATATGGGATAGAGGATCGGTAAGGACTAAAATCAAATCTACCAGTCTCGTCAAGGTTCAATTGTGGAAGGGGGCACCTAAGAAAAGAGAGCATTGGTGGCACTGGAGTGAGAATTATAAAGATTATATTAGTGTACAGGAAAAAGTTAATACTTTCCCAGTAGCTGTAAAATTAAGCCCCCCTGGGCAGATGAAAATATATAAAACAGGATCAGCGCTTTTTGTAAGGATCCCAATCACCATACTTTGAAGAAGTCCTATTGCATCAGTA